CACACTCACATCCACCCTCACCACACTCACATCCACCCTCACCCACACTCAAACTCACCCTCACCCACATTCACACCCACCCTCACCCATAATCATACCCATTACGGTAGTAAAACATCTTCAAAAGATTTCTGTTTCCTGCTGATTCTTCGACCCATTCCTAGGTATTTATTAAAATCTCACTCATAGATAAGTCTAATGAATACTCTGATACTTTAAGTTAAACAAATGTTTCCTTTTCAACATATGAATGAATGATAATAGAATCATTATTTTAGTGGTAAAAATCTATGGACAGATATAAAAAATGGTGAACAAATTGGTTTATATCAAGCAACTGATACAAGTGATGAAGCTGAACATGTTGTAGAATTAATTAAAAATTTTATTAAACTTCATCCAAATATTCCTTTATCTCAAATAGCTATTCTTTATCGAACAAATGCTCAATGTAAATCATTTCTTATCATTTATATAGTTCTATTTTATTTTTTTGTAAATAATAGCACGTGAGTTTGAACAAGCATTAATGAATAGTGGAATAAAATATCGTATTTATGGTGGAATTAAATTTTATCAACGATCAGAAATTAAAAGTGCATTAGCATATTTACGTTTAATTCAAAATGAGAATGATAATGATGCATTTCGTCGTATTATTAATTTTCCTGCACGTGCAATTGGTAAGGCAACATTAGAAAAAATTGAAGCAGGCGCAAAACAAAATCAATGTTCATTATTTACATTTATTCAAACGGATTCAAATTTTTCGAAACAAAAAAAAATTTATGATTTTATTCAATTAATAATTAATTGTAAAAAAACTATTGAAGAAACAAATCCACCTATGGAATTGTATGAACAAGCTTTGTATATATTTGAACAATCAGGTTTTATGAATTCATATAAGAATAAAGAAGAAGTTGAACGTTTACAAAATATAAGTGAATTATGTAATGCTATGAAACAATTTTCACATTTATATCATACAAATGATTTAACTCAATATTTAAGTGTTATTGCATTAGTATGAAAAAGTTAATTGTTGATAAGAATATTTCATTTTTCTCAATAGGATACAACAAATACTCAAGATGGAAAATTAGATACATCTGATGAAATAGAAAGAATTCAAATGATGACAGTACATGGTGCAAAAGGATTAGAATTTCATTATGTATTTATTGCTGGACTTGGTAAAGTTACTTCATTTTTAATTCTGTCTAATACATAATAAGAATATTTGAAAGAAGTTAAATATTCACTATCGCCTCAATATTTGATCGTGACATTTTTTCGCAAAAGTATAAAGTTAACAATATTTGTTTCACCTGAAATTTCCATCTTCTCTATTCATGATGTACAGTAAGGTGCGAAAGTCTTTGTCCTCAGTATTTCACGTGTTTTTCAGAATGAAAGTGATAAATAAAAAGGCATGGCACAAAGTACATAAGTATTACAATTAATAATTGATTCTCTTTCTATTCGTGTCAATCAAAGCTAAACATTCTGCTCTTTCATCCACTTCAATAAATTATTCAGAACGCGCAGAAATCTTTCTAGATTAATGAAAAATGATGGCTCCTGCTTCGTCGTTCAAGTTCGCTATTCGAAATAATTATCTTGCACTTTATTGAGATGACGTCTTTTTTCTAACGGAATAATATTTGCACCTGTGATCTATAAATTTTATACATAGATCAAACGGATGCGAATCAGATTTCTAAGCTTTTCGTTTTTATATATTTGCAATCATTTTTGTTTATAATTTTTTAGTTCAAGATCTTTTTCCATCAAATTTTTTTGGAAATTGTGACATTGAAGAAGAACGTAAGTCTAAATTTAATATTGAATTATCTATTGCTAAAATTTTGTTTTTCTATTATAAAGGTCGTCTGATGTATGTTGCAATAACTCGAGCAAAACGATATTTACATATGTCATACTCAGAAATACGTTCAAATTATGGTCAACAAGAAAGATGTAAACGATCACAATTTATAGCAGAAATTCCTCCTAAACTTGTGCATGTTCATAATGAAAATGATGAAATATATCAACCACCAAAAAAACGAATGAATATTGTTCAAACAATCAAATTACCAAGCCAAACTGGATTTCTTACTGGAAAAAATTTATTAAACGTTGCTCAATGGAATAAGAAAAAATAATTTTTTTGTATATTAAATATTTGAAAAGTGCACATTTTTTTCTTCGCTATGAATTTATTTTACAACTGAAAATAAACAAATGAAATGACTATCAACTCAATTTTCAATAGAATCATAAATCCTCTAAAATCTTCTAAAACAAATAAGTTAATAATAATCATGTCATATGTCAAAACTCATCAGAATTAAATGTACTACTAATAAGATAAATTTAAGCTAGATTATAATGTTTTTTAATCAAAATATATTGAACGTATTCGACTAGTGTGTGTATCTTAAAGCAAGGGGCGCATTAGAAAAACCCAGGTTTTCTAATCTGTCGTAGCGTTTACAAGTTTCAAGGGGGATCTTCTAATGTGTCCCCGACTTTACTAAAAGAGCAGAAAAATCAATCATTAGAGGGGGTCTCCTAGTACGTTTTTTGCGTCATTTACTCAAGGTGGGGG